AACAGAAAAGAGAGAGATGTTAAGAGCGTATGTTACCAACGGTCAAACATTTGGTGGCAACAGCCAAAAAATCGATTCGGCTCATATTCTCAAGTTAGGTAGGCCTTATGGTGAAACAAAGCACTGCATACTTCGTTTGGCTGAATATCGATTTATTTTCGAGAAAATCGATAATAACAGAATTTCGACCAAATGCCGCTTTCAAGCTCAACTGATTTCAGACAAATCTCGGAGTGTCACGCCACGAATTGAAAACACTTGGACCGATAAAAACTACCAAATCTTGAAAAACAACATCAATACATATGTTGACAGCAATTTGAGCAATTCTTGATTGTTTATTTACACAATCTAATTGAATTTAACCGACCTTTTTCTAACAAGATTAATAATAGGTCAAAAGTAACCCGTTATTTAACTATGTGCTATGTAAAAATAATCGACTGAAAATCTGGCTTTTGGAAGGCGAAGTGTGGTTCTCTTTGTTCTCCTAAGGATTTTTTGGGGAAATGATTCAGTGCGATTTAATCAAATTTTAAAGTTGGATAAAACGAGCTGATTTGGCGGTGCCGTCAGTTTGAAAATGTACACATTCACACGCAAACTCGATTATTTCGCATTTTACATCCAATCTCAGTACAGCTTATTTAACATAATATCATCTTACTGTCCATATTGCTGTATCACAAAAGGGGATTGCAGTCCTAAAATTGTTGCATTACTCCGTCAATAGCAATAGAACTTGGCAGGATAGTCAGCACATCCTGATAATGATTGTTTACAAGGCGTATCTCGGTGTTTCTCTTTTCCCATTCCGTTGAAATACTTCGCGTAAGAGATTTTTGTTTAATTATAAGTCTACAACCGAGCCGTGAAGCAAATGTAAGCGGAATGTTGCTAGTTCAGAAACATGTTTCTCGCGTGCAGAATGACGCTAATTAATTCAAAATGAGGTCTACAGAAATAAATCGCAAAAATAAAAGATTGCACTACGAAGCACGTGGCTACAGGAACTAAGGTCGTGTGTTACATATACGAAACAGGAGCAAGCAATTATCTAACTCCGATCATAATTTAATGCATCATAATTGAATGTTTCATGGTACTTGGAGGGATAAAGCTCATTTTACTGAGGACAAAAAAAGAGCGAAAGATTTGCAAAGGGCATAGCCCATCATACATGACTGCAGATGTGCGATAAAGAAAAGTGTAGTGTTTTACTATTTGTTTATTTAAAGGAAGTTTTATAAGGGTCAAACCTGGAAAACCACAACTCTCGCTGAAATGTTCGTAAAAGTCAACGTTCAACAGCTTTATATTTATACTACTTCTTCTCTAGACTCTACTGTGCCTTGTTAAGTTACTCGTGCCGGTAGTAAGACTACGACGACCCAGGTAGCACGTTCACATTTTTCACACCCACCTTTTCCCGGAAAGTAAAACCATTTCTGCGTATCTCGGAACTCAAGAAACGCTTCGAGTAATCATTGCAGCAGCTGACACAGCAGACTCGAGTGCGAGTCGCTATACCTACATGAAATACTTGCATTTTGGAAACAGTGGCTTTGAAAAATCAACTCAACTAATTAGTTATTTAGTATTCTTGCCCAGGAAGGTAGCCAAGTAGGGATCTATTCCCCTCAAATATGGTCGGGTCCAAAGCCATCTATGCATTATATGGCGAAATATTATAGAGCGTGGCTGATGCGTGATGAAAAATTTAACATAAGCCAGTTGTCTGGTCAGACCAGAATGTTCACGCCCATCGGGAAAAGATTGACATCTAGATTTAACCAGAAAAAAGAAAGTGAATACAAATCCATGTTGTGCCTATCTCCTTAAATCCTTCCTTCCAAGATAATAAATTTAAGAAGTGAATGTCTACTTCTTATAGAAGTCCAAAGCCAATCAATGCATCATATGGCGATATATTATTGAGCATGGTTTGATATATCAGCAGGAACTCTGCGCCTCGAACTAGAGCCTCTCGCTCACCCCAAACCAAGCTTTGCACTAAGCGAGGGACATATTATCATGGAATGTATATATGTCAGCAGGAGGAGAGAATATGGCTGCTCGGCTAAGAACTAGGTCAACTTCGTCTTTTGGCCCGGAAAAACCGAGACTAG